AGATAGAAATAAATATAACCGTTGGATCAACATAATCGATCTAATGGTGAAATTAATTGGTCGTAATATTGGGGGTAACACTATTTGGTTGTTACAATATCCTACCCCAAAATTAAATTAGGAAAATTTGAATTTTAAGAGAAAAATATTTTTATATTTTTGCATCAAATTTTAAGGGTGGGCACTTGCCCCCCTTCTCTAACACTTGGATCCGCCTTTGGATATAACTAGTAAATTACCCGTGTGATGCCCGGGGAAAAAAGAACAAAACCGTTGCCGCCGTCGTTGGTTAATCATCGCACCGGTAAATCAAACACTTTCATCTTGCTATCAAGCTCTGAACAGTGCTATGGTAGAGGTATAAACATGAAGGAACAAAAAATAAAAAAACAAACCTATTATTTGAGAATTATCTGAATTAAAAAAGAGTTGTCTTGCTATTTTTGAACTTTAAAAGGCTACAACATTCACACAAAACTTTGTAAATATCAACCACAAACAAAATTTTGCAATTCAGAAGCATTGATTATTATGCAAATCAAATATAGTTATTTACTCAATAATTCAGTCTTCAAATATAAGTACCAATGAACCTTCTATTCTGCATTATTATTCAATATGATCTCGTCTTATTGATTCAACCGTACACAAAATTTGCTACAAAAAAATCAATTAATATACATGAAGGAAAAAATTAATAATAAATAATTATTTTTTTGCAAGAATTTGTGTCGTTAGTATTTGGAATTTTACAAATTTGTATTTACAAAAATTAAAATCAAATTTAGGAATTTTGATTATGAAAGAAGAAGGATGAAATTTTAATTTAATTACAAAATCGTGTTGGTGAGCTGGCCCTCCAGGTCGAACCCAGTTTGCCACATCTAACTATCAGCATGCAATATGTTTTTATATTTATCCACAAAAAAGGTTCTTATAGTCACATTTAGGTTTTTATATTTTATCTCAGAGATGGACTTTCGTTTATTACACTCAGATTTAAAAAATAATAATAAATAATTATTTTTTGCAAGGATTTGCGTCGTTTGTATTTGAAATTTTACAAATTTGTATGTACAAAAATTAAAATCAAATTTAGAAATTTAATTATAAAAGAAGAATGATGAAATTTTAATTTAATTATAAAAATGTGTTGGTAGGCTGGCCCTTTGGGCCGAGCCCAGTTTGCCACCTCTAAGTATTAGTATTTAATAGGTTTTTATATTTATCCACACAAAAAGGCTCTTATAGTTGCGTCTAGATTTTTATATTTTATCTCAGAGATGAACTTTCATTTATTACAATTAGACTTACAAAATAGTAATAAATAATTATTTTTCTGCAATGATTTGTGTCATTTCTAATTTTTTCATTTAAATTTCAAATTTAAATTATTTTTTTATCAACTATACATATTTTTTTATAAATTTTAAATAATTTTTTGTTTAATCTATAATTTATTATATTAACTTTAATTTTATATATATATATATATATATATATATATATATATATATATATATATATATATATATAGATTTTTCCACTACAGAAACATTAATACATAATTCTTTTCCCACCTATTGATAGTTAAAAATTCAAATTTAAAAAGTTTGAATTTTGAAATATTAAATATTTTCTCACCCAATAGACTTAATAACAAATATTATTAATAGATTTAACAATTTCTCATACTAAAAGTAGTGGGAAACATGCATAGAAGGTTGTGTATGTTTTCCATGAAATGATGGGTTTTTCATTTTCAAGTAACATTGGTAATTCACCTTCCATCTTCCAATAGAATAATTAAAAACCTTACAATTCCAATATAGAAATGATAGTGGGACATTAATTTGATGTCTGCCACTAACACTTTAATTTCGAAATTTAATTTGCTTAAAACTTAATTTTTAGTTATTTATTTATTTTTAAAATTGGCAAGCAAGTGAAAACACACAGGAGGTAGAAGATTAAGGGTCTGAATGATTTGAAGGTTATAAAAAAATATCAAATGATGAGTTTTTCATTTTCAAGTAACATTAGTAAAGAACCTTCCATCTTTCAATACAACAATTAAATACCTTACAGGTTCGAATGTAAAAATGATAGTGGATCATTAATTAGATGTCTCCCACTAATTTCTTAATTTTGATTTTTGATTTAATTAAAAACTTATTATGTAATTTTTTTTTAAATTGACATTCAAGTGTGAACACAAAGCTGAAACTGCATGAGAGCTTGACACATCAATTTTTTTGGTTCTCCTTTTAAGTATATAATAGATGGAAATTTAATACAGTTGTCTCCTGCTAAAAGATTATAAACCCTTTTTCCTACCTATATCAACTTCAAATTTCAAATTTTAAAAAAGAAGTAGGATATTAATACACTTATTTGCCACTAATTAATGTTAAACTCTTTTCGCACTAACTATTTAGTTTAAATATTTTAAATTTCAAATTAAAATAAAATGTTTTTCATTCATCTGTGATTTTAAATTCTATCTTATCATTATGAACATTGGCAACTCTCATCTTTATGAGGATTCCATTCATATCTCATTCATCTTAGGATTAACGATTTCTCATTTTAATTCATCGAATTGGCAACTCATTATTAGCATAAGCAAGTACAACAATTACACAATAAATGAAGTTACTTATTCCTAATAGGTATATTAATTACTATTATTTTATTTAACTGTTAAAAGACTCCTCGTAATATAATTACTTTGTGTTCTGAAAATGTCTACGGTGAGCTTTGAAATTTTCCACGCAATCAGAATTATAATAGAAATTCCTTGAAATTTTCAAGACATTCAAGTTTGCACAATTTCAAAAGTTGTTTTCTTTTATTATGAGATGTTTTTTGAATTTTAAAATTTTATTTACATTTAAAGCATATTAATTTTTGAAAATTTTTACCGAAATAAGTTTTAATATTATTTAATTTGTTCGGAGAAAAAAAAAAGAAAATAAAAAGTATAAACAAAGGATACATCATAAAAGTCATACAGAAAATAAAGAAAATTCATTATATTTTTGGATATACAAAAGATATTAGTAATTATGTTCGGTGAAGAAAAATAAATAAATAAATAAATAAATAATAAATAAATAAATGAAAGGATATATAATAATATATCGTTTTGGTTATTATAAAGTCACAATTGCATGGTGCATATACAAATAAAAGAAAAAAAAGGGAAGCTGCAAAATCGAAAAACCAAAAGAGGGTAACCCATATTTTCATCTTTCACCTAATATATGAACAAACCGTTCTTCTTCTTCCTAACCTTAATTTCATTGATGATATTGATTTCATGGTAGATTGCTTGCTTTCACCGTTATAAAGCCTTGATCTTTTTCTTTTCCACCATTATGCATTTTTTGCATTTTCCTCACTGATACCCCTGAAACATAAGCATTAATAGAGAAAGAATTATAAAAAAAATCCCTGAAATCCTTTTTCCATATTTTAAGGGGAGACTGATTATATGCTAAGAAAGTTTGTACTTGATCTACACATCGCTCTCACAAAGCACACTCAGGCTTGTGACCCATAGATTCTAAATTTCGCGTGCAAGGTTAGACCTTTAGACTGATTCTTATAAATTCTTCCAAGATGCTAATCGCTAGCCACCTACAACCAATCTATAACGTGAACCATTAAAGGTAGCTCTTTTAGGACTAACAAAACAACAGGTCAATGAAAATGGATGAAAAAAAGAAGAAAGGAAAGCAAGCCATGTAAAGGGAAATTAAAAATGAGATAGATGCAGTAATAAATGAAGAAGAGGGACCTTTGTTCTCAAAGGGTGTTGATGGAGTTGTTTCAAGTAATTTTTCAGTATGATCCCTTCTTTGCTAAAGATCCCATCTTGCTTCCTCCTTGATTGGAAAGAGGTAACTGGGTCAGTGACTAATGTTCAAGAAAATGAGAAATATGAGGGGAAAGGAACGGAGGATGGGTTTGGGTGAAGAATCAGAGTTAAGATAGGCACTGTGAGAGAAAAATAAAGATGCCATTTTAGAATTTGGTATTTATAAGAATAATTGAGAGAGGGGAGGAACTGAAAAATTTTGTTTAGGTAGTGTAATTTCCAATATCATTAATAAACTTTTCATTTTCCAATAATTTTCAATTAAAAACCTTACAATTCCAATGTAGAAATGATAGTGGGGCATTAATTAGATGTCTCCCATTAATTCCTTAATTTTGATTTATTTTATTATTTTTTGTTTAATATTAATTTTCGATTAAAAAAATTACCAAAAGAAGAAACTTTTCAAACATTTCTCAAGTGTGAACACATTGGTGAAATTGAAGGAGGGAGTGACACATCATGAAACTTTTCAATGTTGTTTATTCCCTTAGTATATATAACTAGTGTATTACCCGTGCGATGCACGAAGGAAAACGATCAAAATTCTTGTCTTCCGTCGTGGTTGGTTAATCGCACTGCAAACCTTATACTTACAAAAAAACTGTGTTACTATTTTGTTCTATATTTCAGATGGGAAAAAATACGGCATTGACACAGAACTTTGCAAATATCAACAACAAACAAAGATCTGCTATTGAGAGGGATCAATTATTTTTGCATACTAAAATATCATAATACACCATAATACGTTATACTGCACAATGTTAACATGAGGAAGGGATATAAAAATAAATATGCATACCACTCATAGTATAATAACACCAAGCAAATATGGAGTTAAAAATCAACACTTACCAAATATGTCATTTGCTATATGATTTTCGTTCCTTGTGCCTGCGATATAGAAGGCAAAAACTCATTAAATAAATTACACTAATACGTTAACAGACAAAAGTAATACTATCAGGAAAAAAAAAGATGAGGATTAATTTTTATTTGGGACAAAAAAAATGTTGTGTAAATGGGATTTAAGGGCACCTTAAGCAAATAAGCATGTATGAGTCATATTTTTTACTTACATTGCAAGAAATGCGTCTAAACAGAATCAAATCAACTACATTAATCTTTGAAATACTTCCTTGTAGACGATGTTAAAGGTACGATTTGTAACACAACCATTATCATCAAGTATCAATATCTTCAATCCTTGTTTGCTCTTTACTCGTGAATGTGCCACATATAATTGCCCATGAGTAAAGACGGGCCTAAAGAGATAAATGCCCACATGCGAAAGAGATTGTCCTTGGCTCTTGTCGATACTCATGGCAAATGAAACAACCAGTGGGAATTGTCTTCTTTGGAAATGTACTGGAAATGAATGACTTGAAGGGCTCATCGTCATTCTAGGGATTAACACAGTTTCCCCGATATTGCTTTCGGTAAGAACAGTTCCTTCAACAACACGGTTGCCTAATCTTGAAATAAGCAATCTTGTGCCGTTGCATAAACCTCTTGACTGATCAATATTTCTCAATAGCATAACCAGCACATTAACCTTCAAAATTAATTTATGATCAGGAATTCCGGAACAGGAGAAGGTATTTAAAATTTCAGGTGAGAACTCGTCATCTTCAATTTGAGAATTATTATCTTGTTTCAAGACATTATCTAAACTGAAATATGTCTTTTCTTCACCAGGAATCAAAGACATTAAAAGCTCGTTTATCATAGCAACATCTGTCAATTTAGGAGTTAAAATTGCACATTCTCTGAAGAATGTAGGATCCTTAATATGATCCAAGAGATTCGGGTACACAAAATCAACCAAATCTGACAGTGGATGTTCTCATTCCTCAATTAATAATCCACCTGGAATTGTTATCATAGATTCTCCATCAATATTATCTCCAAGATCACCATCTCCTATATTTAGGAGCCAGTTGGAAAAATCCTTTATTTCCGCATAATTTTTAATCCCATTTCCAGTAGTAAGTTGCATGTTCTTAGTCAAAGTCAACAAATGACAATGGGACCAAAGATGAGAATAATTAATTGTTGCATTGACTATTTGTTGTCTGCTGCCACGAGGAATTACGGGTAATATTTGCCGAAAGTCACCTCCCAGAACAATGACTTTTCCACCAAATGGCTTATCAACACATCTACTATCAGAAAATCTAAGAATATCTCTCAGTGTTTTGTCCAGGGCCTCAAAACATAATCGGTGTACCATTGGGGCTTCGTCCCAAATAATTAACTTTGTTTTTGCCAGCAACTCGGCAATAGGAGAATTTTGAGTGATATTACAGGTTGAATCTTCAGTGATTTGAATGGGAATACGAAATCTAGAATGTCCAGTTCGTCCTCTAGGAAGCAAAAGAGAAGCAATTCCGCTAGAAGCAACATTAAGTATAATTTCACCATTTGATCTAAAAAAAGTGGACAGGGTATTCCAGATAAATGTTTTTCCCGTTCCACCAAAACCGTAAAGAAAAAACAAACCCCCTGCATCGGCCGAAACTGCTGAAACGATGTTTTCGTAAGCATTTCTCTGCTCATAAGTCAAGGAATTCTTTAGTCTTTTATGCTCTTCCATCATGGACAATCTGTCATAAAGTAACACATCAAGCACCAATCTATTTTGCACATGAAGTAGAGATTCACCGCTGATGCGAGGCATCGATGGGTAATCAGAAAGTCATCTCCCATTACTTTGCAGTACCTTATCAATTTCAGCAAGTGTTGTATTTTTTATAGACTCTTCCGTAAGAACCGCATCTGAATCCACATCAAACAAAAAGCATAAGAAATAAACAAAGAAAAAGAAAAAATACAAAAGAAAAATAAAATACAACAGTAAAATATTATCTGGAATGTAAATACTATCTTTTTTTTTTCATTTGGACGAAAGAATGTATACTAATGAATGGATGGAACATACAGATAACATGTACCTTGACGTCCGATGCTTTTCCTATGCATATAACGGACATCGTCAGATAGAAATTTCCAACACTTTTCCCAAACGTTTTCGGGTTTGGTCATGGAGTTGGTAAATAACAATAGAGCAAACAGATATCGAAGATAGGCAGCTGACCCCCATGTACTTGCCTCTGTAATTGCATCAATGTACTCATTGTCGTCGTCCAAAAGTCCTAAAGAATAGCATGCATCCTTAAATGAAGGGAAAAACACTCCATTTATTGTTCGCAAATCGTTATAACTCATACAACCCTTTTGAAAAGTAAGCAGGAGCCGTATATAGGAATCTTCTCCATTATTAGCAGAAAATTGATTTATTCTTCCAATTGAAAATCCTTTTTTTCTTGGATGCCATTCCTGTGTATCTTCTTTGTAAACAAAATAAGTGGGATACTCAGCATAAGTAAGATCCCTCCCCTCCGGAAATTTTTTGTTTGCTTCCGTCCAAGACTCGAACATTGATCTTTTAGATTCAGCCCGTGTCTTTACATCATATATTGAAGCACTGTCACTAAAAACAATGCTCTTTTGATTGGGTAGGTGAAATGGCAATCTATGAACAGGGAGTATCTACAATGAACATCAAATCCAAAAATTCTCCAAGCTGCTTCACATGCAGAGACATACCTGTAAGAAATAAGCATTGAATCTTAAAATAGGTCAAAAAATAATGATGCATAAATATTACATAAAACAATTTAATATGAATTGAAGTACCTGCAATCGTAAAACATTTTAATCTCATTATTCCTGCAAGTGCTCTCGCTAAATGAATTTGAATGATGGATCGCAGCTGTCACTCGATCATTTCCTTTATGAATATATTTAAAAAGATATTTAATGGCCTTGCTTTGACAGGTATAGTCAACATTAATATGAGCTTGATACTTTAGAAGAAGCTTTGCATTATACGACACAACATAACGATTATCAAGTTCAACGCCATTTTTGTTGACAACTGTACCATCATTGTTTCTCTTGTAATGAGGGAATCTGTCATCATCAATAAAAGTACGGCAATAAAAGTACGGGAGCAGAAGTTCTTGGAAAATTTCTTTGAACAATTTCCATCTTTCATGCAAGGAGAATTGTAATTGTCGGGACCACAGGGACCAAGCATCATGTAAGTGTTGACAGCCGAAAACAGGGATGAATGGGTATCTTTATTAGGAATCTCTGCTGAAATCAATCTATCAATATCAATTCCACTATTTGGCTTGTCAGAAGGGTGCAAGAACAGTAGGATCACGCTTTTGAAACTCGATGGTATAAACATCTGTAACATTTAAACACACAAACATGTATAATTAGTGAAAAAAATATAATTAAAAGAAAAAAAAATGGTAGAATACATCATACATACATGTATTAACTCTTACAAGAAAATGTTCCTTTCTTAAATCATTAAGCAATTGATCCAATTTGAATTTGAACACTCTGCAAAGTATATCTGGACGATCTTCAGGTTTTAGTTTTCTAGCATTTAGGAACTGCGAAATTTCCGGCCACTTAGGATTGCATGTAATTTTAATAAAAAGATGAGGATAGCCAGCCAGCAGAAAATTGCAAAAGCATATTTATAATTTTCAGCCATATATCTAGGTCCGCCTGTGAAAGAAGAAGGTATTATGATACACTTTCCAGTTTTGGCTGCGGCTTCTTCACCTCTATTAAATGCATGAATAACATTTTGGTACAACTCAGCTCTGAGATGATCTTGGTTATGTCGAATGAAGCTTAGTCGTTCATGCTCAATCATAGTGTAAGCATCTACCAAGAATTGTTGAAAAAGTCTTCTTGAGTGGTGGACAATTTGAGAGTCTCCCGATCTTGTTTGAAGTCTAAATGAAAAGAATTCTCTCATGCTGATAGTGGCTCTAGGTTTTGTTCTTCCACTGGAAACAATATTGCGCTGGACATCATCACGGTAGCCATCTTCATCGTAAGGAAATAACAAAGGATATTGTATACCAAGGTATAACGGATGTTGCACATCTAAGCGCTGCAAAACTCTATTTCGGGTTTCAACAATGATGTCCCTATCACCCATTGAGCCGTCTATATCTCCAACAATCAAAGCAGCAACTTCATATGCGGATGGAAGATTATAAACTCTTCCATCACTACTACGCCTTCGAATAAGCCTCAACTTCACACCATTCAAGCTATCTTCAGTATATCGGTCTATAGCATACCGGAAAGATTGAGCAATACTGTTGTGTTCTTCTAACATATCCTTCAAGGATTGAATTATATTGGGATCGAGCATATCTTCTATGTTGGTGGAACTGCAAACATAATGATAAAAAATTGAGTGTGAAATTATATAAAATCAATACAAATATAATACATAAAGGAACAAAGAAAAAAACTAAATGCATTATGCCTTATAGAGCCCAGTCTATGATCAACTTCATTCTCAGTATCGTATATATAAAGTTGAGCAAATTTTGGAGTCTGACAGTCAGCTGGCAGAAGACTACCCATTAGATGATAAACCTGCCCACCTACTCTAAAATAGTAAGGCCCAGACCCTTGATTGACTGATCTATCCACTTTTCCTCCAAATGAGGTGAAGGAAAATATCATGTTATATGCTCGAATATTTCGTAAAAAATGGCGACTCAAGATATTGGAATTATCATGCAGTTGATGTTAGTATATGGATGTCCTAGAGACAATCTTTTAATTAGATTAGGACATATGTGGACCTTTGTATTGTCGCAAATAAATAAAAGCACTATTTATCCTGTTTCATATTTTGTTTCAATATTACTGTTAATATTTTATATGAGTAACTGGATAAACCCCTTGGAATAAAATAGGTATCTCTTGAGTATCTGTGATGAGATCACGATCATGAGGATTCAAGGATACTGGATATTTATTCCTAATTTTATGTTCCTAGTCTAGGGACACTGAGAATGGGGATCAGTGATCTCGGGTAAGACTAGCACGACTTATCTACTTGTATTCGGATGCAAGGTAAAGACCTCATGAGCTACAGATACGGAGATGTCTTAGCTAAAGTCGTGGGTGGATCTATAAGGGTATAGCTCGCACTGAAGAGACCCACAAAAGAGACACTATGAGGAAATCTCACAGAGAGTATCATTAGAGTAGTCTCTTTATATTTGGGTATGCCTTTCCTTAGACCAGAAGTTATTACCTAGACTGTGTTCTAGAAGGCATGCTTTGACTGTATACCTCGTCTTCCTGAAACATGGAGACTCATAGGTATACTGTTGGGCTTGTCCTGAAAGAGCACAGGGCTAGGGTGATAAGCTGAAGGAATTCGTCAAATCTCTGTGAGAGATTAGGTTATCTGTAAACTGGAAAAATCGGGATGACATTTACAAGGACTCGGGAATCTATGCATAGTAAAAGAGAGCATGAGATGATCTGCCTTTAGAGTCAGTAAATTGAAGATTCCTTATTTCGAATAAAGCTTACCCTAAACCGCAAGGGTTGATACGCTTCCTTACCCTAGATTTTATGGGAAGGTAACCGAGAAGAAAAGAAATACATACGGCAACCAAATATGTGTAATAGGACGATCAAGTCATTAATCTAACTAGCTCTGGGGAAACAAAGCATTGCTAGTGCTCTGTGTTGTCATTAAATGAGTTGTGGGCTTGTTGGGCCCGAGCCCATTTATGTCAGTGGTTATGTTGGACCTATTGGGTCACACACTAACACCTTAATGTCATGATGATATAGCATTAAAGGTATTGGGCCTAATAATGGTTGTTAGCCCAAGATGAAGTTTGGAAGCCCACCTAAGAGGGAGAGGGCGCATGGTATTGTTAATGAGCTTGGATAGTCCAAGACATTACTAATTAATTTAATTAGTTAAATTAATTATCAAATATTTAAATTTTGAATTTTGAATTTGAAATTTGAAATTTGAATTTGAATTTTGAATTTGAATTTTGAAATTCGAATTTTGAATTTGAGATTTGAATTTGAATTTGAAATTTGAATTTAGAATTTAAATGTTTGAACGTTTGAATTTAAATGTTTGAATTCAAATTTGAATTGGCTATGAAAAGTTGTTTCATAACAAAAGGATAAGATGAGATCTTGTTGGAACAAATCCCTTGTATCAAGAGAAGATCTATGGAGATCTCCAAGGGCTGATTTGGGGCGCCATTTTGGTGGGAGATGATTGTCATCTTGTCAAACCAACAAGCTCCAATCAGATTTGGTTGTTGAGAGAATCAGTGAGCTAGTTGGTTCAAACTTGAATGCAACAACTCAAATGTATCTGGACCCTTTTTGGGCTGAATAGGGGCGCATGAATTGGTGGTCATATGATGACCATTGGTTCAGAATTTTGACTAGATAAAGACCTAGTCTTACGAGGATTCAAAGGAGAGGTTGTTGGGATTTTTGAATTGCAACAACTCCACCTTTGTCTCACTCACTTGTGCGCCACTTTCCATTATAAGTAAAGTAAAAATTCTGATTTGATACACTAATTCTCTCCCTCTATTGTGCGCCTAGTTGGTGAGTTCCTCCTTAAGGTTTTTCAAAAGAACCTAGCCAATTCTTCTATATACCATTCCCACTCTTGTGAAGTTTTCATGCTAGAGACTTCACTCTTCTAAACACATATACCTAGCCTCCTTCTTCACCTATTATTGAGCGCATAGCAAGCCTCTCTGTTGTGGTCAATTGGTGGCTTTCAAGAAAGCATTCTTGCATCTTGACGTGGGTGGTGTGGATCAACGTTAGAGGGTTTGAACCCTTCAAACCTAACACTGATCATCTTGGAGTTTTGAACTCACAAACAAAGGTAACATCACATGCCATAAAGCATGATTCTTGATTGCATGTGTAATTCCGCATATGAAAAATTTTGTTTTTCCCTCTCACATGCTACGGCCTTCAAGGCCATTTTACTTTCAAGTGGTATCAGAGCCCGGTCGCTTTACCATCGGCGGGTGATGGTACTTTGTTTGTGAAATTAATTTTCTCACGGTCAAAAGGTCTTTTAGTTAAAGATTAATTCTTTGCATGTGGAATTTTTTTATGAACATGTTTAATATGATTATGGTGTTCATATATCTACGTAACCTCATGGTTTTGTTTGTTTTGATTCTTTGTGAAAGTTTTCAAAAGAAACATTGTTTTGAAAAGGGAATATGATTCTGCCATGATGTGAATATTCAAATGCATTATTTTCTCCATGATTTTATTTAATAAAATTTTTGTATATGATGATGTATGGTTCGACCATATGAGTTATGGTTGAATAAATGGTTTAATTTTTGTGATCTTTGAGAAAGATTTGACAAAGATTTGAATTATGCATAAAGATGCAAAATTCGATAATTGGGAGAAAATTGGAAATTTTTTGAATTTTGATTCTTGTTTTGATATTTTAATTGTTAAATTATCAAAATATATGTGAGGAAATATTTATATAATATTTGATATTATGTGCTTGCAAGCTGTTTAAATTTTCAGGTGCAATTTGGAAGGGGATGGTCATGGTGCCCGAAATTCGAATTTCAAATTTTAAATTAATGTGTAATTTTGCCCTATTTTAATTAGAGTTGTAATTTGAATTTTGAATTTTGAATTTTGTATTTTGTATTTTTATTATTTGTCCCTCCAAAGATGTTTTGGAGTTTCTTTAATTATATGCAATTAGAGAATTAGGCTAGTGGCGTATAGACGAGGAGGAGCCGATGCTTGAGAAGCAAGATGGACAAATGCGCGAGCACCATGACCATCTCAAATAAAACTGTTTTATATGCATGTATGCTTTTATGTTTTGAACGACTAGTATGCATGAATTGGACAAATCGCGTTTGTATGTATTATTATGCATGTCCAATTACGACTAGTGTAATCCGATAGATGTTTGACATAGGATAACATCTAGCATGATAATAATATAAATGCGTTTGATGAGACCTAATAAACCCCAAATAAAAGGAACCCTTAAAGGAATAAATTATTAAGCATATGATTACCTCCCACCATCAATATTACTCAAACCTCCTCTACATAGTGGTGCTCAACAACTCAGTTGGGACCCACTGTTTCATTGAGTAAGAGTAGTATTAGAAGTGTTAGACACTTAGGGTGCTGGTTAATACTTAACTGAGACATAAGTTGCAGGCTCAGCCGGGCTTTCTTATGTGCTTAGGGTAATAATGCTAGGTTGGTTGCATGAGATGCACCACTAAGTGACAAGGAGTTGTCAACCTAATGTTAAGAGAGGGTATGAGATACTGTTGATGAGGATCAACCCATTATTTAAATTAATCTTGCGGTCACAGACGGGGGATAAAATAGATAATCTCATTCTTAATCTCACTAAGGTAAAATCTAAAAGTAGATTAACCCTAAGTCAAATGGGAAGGGTCATTGACTTAGAAAAAATAGTGGGAGGGAAAAATTATTTAAAGTCTTTAATAATTTGTTTATACAACATGTCTAAATATATTAATTAAATCATCTTTACATCTTTTTCAGTTTTTAGTATGACTAATCCACTGTCACTACGCTCAATACTCGATACGTACAAACTGACCGGTTCAAACTTTATGGACTGGTATCGGAACTTAAGAATTGTTCTTAGGGCCGAAAAAATAGCTTATGTCCTGGATGCTGCATTACCTGTAGCTCCTAGGGAAGAGGAAGATGGGTTCGCAGAATTTGATTTCGAGGCCCACAAACAGCACATGGATGACAATGTGTTGACTGTCTGCATTATGTTGGCATCCATGTCGCTTGAACTGCAAAAGCAGCATGAGCATATGGATGCTCCCTCTATTGCCTTACATCTCAAGGAGTTGTATGACATTAAAGGCAGGCATGAGAGGTATGAGGCCTCTAGAGAATTGTTCTCATGCAGGATGTCTGAGAACATGTCTGTGAGCAGTCATGTTCTTAAGATGATCGGGCTCATTGAGAAGCTAGGAATTCTAGGGTTCGTCATGAATGCCGAGCTAAGTAATGACTTAGTCTTGACCTCGCTTCCACCTTCCTTCAGTCAATTCATTATGAATTACAACATGCATGTGATGCTTGTGAGCTTGCCTGAATTGTTAAGCATGTTAACAACTGCTGAAGTGTCTATCAAGAAGGATAAGACACATGCTCTTCTGATTGGTGGGCCTAGCAAGGCAAAGGGTAAGGGCAAGGAGCCTGCGAAAAGAGACTCCCTTAAACCCAAAGGAAAACCCAAGAAGAAGAAAGGCAAAAAGAAGGGTAAGAGTGCATCCAAGGACAAAAGCGATGCTGAGTGCTTCCTGTAACACCCTGTATATATCCGGTAATGTTATCATACTATCGTATTAAGCAGCGCTTAATTAAAAATGCGGAACTAGATGTGGAACTACACGGAGACATCACCACGCGCTATGCATAGCAATCAATCAGTGCACAGTTTCTAGACAACCAATCCATGCCCAGAATAATCTCGAGGTTGGCCATCGGCAATCCTATCAGATCCACCGAGAACTCACAGCCATCCCACTGAAACGCTACATCGCGATGAACAGTGGTAGAAACACATATCTCTACGGTGGCGGTAGTCACCCGCAACGGTGGAGAAAGCACAGACATGGGCA